ACTTTTCTACTTATTTTTCTCCACTTTTTGATCCTCAAATGACCCAATTTCACTTTAAACCTAAATTATACCTGAAATTACCACTAAAAACACTTATCATGCTCCTCTAACCACACATCACGTAAATCCTATAAATGAAGCTTAATTACTTAATTATTGGAGGTTAAATTTTTGGGATGTTACATAAATCGTGTGTGATAGGGGGAAATCATAATTTGAAAATAGGATGAAACACCTCTAGTTAGATGATCCTACCACTCAAGGTTTTAGTCGGGATGATATGAAGGCTCAGATGGTAGAATAATCATACTAGAATGGAAATGACCTGTGATCATGAAAATGTAATGTTAGAATATACTAAACGGGTGTTTTTATATATTTGAGCTTTACTTGCTTATAGTTATGCATGTTAATTAATAATTGTAAATTATTCTATTACTGAGATATTTATCTCACCCTGTGGTTATATTTTACAGGTGAGGACTCTAATAGAGGCAAAGAGAAGGAAGGGACTACCAAGAATTGAAGGCTTTATTTGTATAGCTCTTTTTCCTTGCTATTTTGGTATTGTAATGAATGTTATGAGTTATGTACCAACTTAGGATTTCATGCATATTTTGGGTCACTTGTGTGAGAAATTGTGTAATGTGTATATTTTGATGTAGAATAATGTATCTTTAATTAAATGATTGTGAGTGATCAAAATACTGGTACAAGTGATAATTTTGTAATGTTTTGCATATATGAATGACCATAGCATGTTATTTGGGATTAGATTATCACCCTTTGAATTCATTATGGAATCGGGGTTTCAATAGCCAAACTATATATATATGGTTGTTGTTGTGATATGATTGGTTTATCAGGTTGTGTGTGGTTTATTTGAGTTAGTCCAAGTCTAAAGCTATTGGCACTATGTTATAAGTTTTGGACACATTTGTGTGTGTTATGGTTTGAAAATGGACAATTTCAAGTTCGGATGTCCAACTTTTAAATGGTTGATTATTTAGGTATGAGATCAGTGCTAATAATTAGAGGGTTCGAAGAGCTATGTGTGAACGGTTGAATTGCTCAAATGGAATGTCGAATAGCAAAACAGCGCACTTTGAAATTTAGATTCGCAGTACTATCATGACATCTATTTACTATTATGATAGGAGCGATGTGTCGTAGTGCATTGCATAGCAAGAACCTTAGGTTCTTCATGCCATCCGTCATGGTTGGTGGCACATGTGCCGCGACAGATGTAGCACATTTCAGGTAATCAAAAATGCCTTTTTTAGTGTTTCTTTGATAGGCTATTTGACTTTCTTGCTTCTGTTACCTTATTTAACTTATTTCAAATGATGGTTTAAACTCAAATTGCTCTTCAAAAAAAGTTTTTTTTAGGATCTCAATATTTTAAACTATTTATTTCTAAACTATAGGGTTGTGATAACTTTACTTAGAAATTTTAATTAGTCATAATTATCACAATGGTGTGTTAGAGTGTTGATGTTAAGGTAAACATTGCAATGAACAAGTCTCCATTCAAGAAAAAATAACTTTCATTTTTATTTTAACAATGTTCAATCCCCTCATTCACAACAAATATATATAAGGAGTAGTTTTATCTTTTTATAATAAATTTTAATTACATTAGGTCCTTTGGCCTTGCAAAATAATATCAAAATTATTTGTTCATTCAGAATAATTAATTTTATCCGGTGATCCTTGATTGTGATCCCCCCTTTTGTACTTGAAAGAAATTTTTTTCAAAAGTGTATGTGGGCACCATATGGTCAAGATATTCTTTTTAATTAATTTTTAAATTCAAGTGACATTATTTTAGTATCAAGAGAAACTTTATTTATAAAAATTAAAAAAATTATTGAAAAAATATTAGTACTTTTAGATAATCAAATTAAAGTATAAATAAATTAATTCTTAACATAGCTGTTTGAGGGCTAATTTGTATATATTTTTATGAAAAATACTTATTTTCTGTGAAAAAATTGAGAAATTTTGGAATATTTCTTCAAAATTTAAAAATTAATTGGAATCTTAACAGATCATATTTCTGATTAGTTTGATGCTAAATAAGATAAAATATAGATGAACAGATTAAAGATACACTTATATTATAAATTTTAAAAGGTATTGAAAAATAAATTATCTTCTTATGATTATAATTAAAGACAAGATAATTTTTGTTTTTCAAAACTCTAAATAATTTTAAAAGCACTTATTTTTTGAGAAATTCTCATGTAGATCAAATGCACCACTTTATTTATGGTTTGTCCAATAAAATATGACATTCAGGTGATATTAAATATAAATTAATTTTAACATTAATAATAGTAGAAATAAAAAATACAAAAAATTAGATATATGTTTTGTTATAATAATAAAATCAATTAAAATAATGTCACATGAAATTTTATCAAGATAACATGAGGCATTCTAATTAGATGAAGTACAAATGATGTGGCGTATTTAATTTACCAAAAAATTTCTTTTTTCCCTCTCATAATTTGGGACATATTTCACATGCCAATAAAATTAAGAATGACAGTTTATGAACTTACTTTTTTAAAATAAAATTATAAATTTTAAAAAATATTCCTATACGTTTAATCTTTCACTTCTTTTATCATTAGAAAGGTAATACTGGAAATGTATCAATATTGAAATTTTAATTTTTTTAAATTATTTTATATTTTGAAACAATCAAATTTTTTTAAAATTGAGAATGAGAAGCATCTATTAAGAAACTCCTCAACACAAGATTGGGATTAGGGAATTATGGCCCTTGCGATTACACAATTCACATCACATGGCAGATGGCACACACAATACCAGTCCTTGAGGCTTGACGTGTGTAAATCGTAACACTTTTTTATTATATTTATAAGTCATTTTAATATATTTTATTAAAATAAAAAAAATTAAAACTTATTAATTTTATCTAAAAATTTAATAAATTTTTAATTTTATCTCTATTAAATATATATTAATAACATATTTTTTCTACCATTCAATGAAAGGTAAAATAAAAAATTTGTAATAAAAATTTAATAATATGACTTATAAATAAAATTAAAAAAATTAAATAGGATCAAAGAGAGTAGTTTATAAAAATGGATATCTTTTTAATTTACTAGAAATTTAAAAACAGAACTTGTTTTTGGCCAAAAAATCAAACTATTTATACTTGAGCTTAAACATTGCAACATGTTCATCCAATGTTTTAAGAAGCAGTATGTCTCACATTATCTTCTCAAAAACCAAGACATGGCCCTCCTATGTCAACCCCACTAGTTTTAGATAAAGTGTATATTTGGTTTTTAATTTATTAAAAATTTATTTAGCAAAAATTAATTAAATAAAATTTAATTACTATAACAAAATTTAAGTTTGAATATATTTTTTTAAAAATCAATTTGATAAGTTAAAAGTTGCTTAAATTAATGATGATTTGTGCTTTTGAAATATACTTTTAAATATATAATGATAAAAAAAATATCGATTTATGATAAGTGATAATTTTTGTTATACAAATATAATTTATTAAAAATGTTTAAAAAATATAAAAATAACATAAAATAACATAAAATTTAATATGTTAAATAATAAGAATAAAGAATATATAGTTTACTATTGGAAAAAAATTAAAATATAATGAAGATATTATGATCATTTATAAAAATAGGTATAACTCAACTCCCATTTACAATTTTAAATCTACCAAAAAAATAGAGTTAACAAATTCACATTTCAACCCACATTAAAAAGTTCATTTTCTCACTTAAAAATTACTCAACAATATTTAACATTCCAAAAATTAAAAAATGAATTTCAAATGCCAAGTCTTGATTATCCAAACACATGTGTATTTGACTATTTATAAATGTGATTTGTCAAAAAATTACACATAGAAATCAGGGGCAGCATGATCATATTAAAAATTAATGGATCAAGAGAAATCAAATTAGATAAGTCCTATTCAATTACTTTCCTAAAACACATTCATAAAAGTACTTAAATATATTCATTATATTTAAACAATTTTTAACTTTTAAAAAATGTTAAAAGCGTTTTTTAAGTTCCTAAACAGACCCTAATATAATAGTGATTAATGTTTTAACCCAAAAAAAAATTATAATTGATGTATAATATAATTATAAATATAAATAGATTTTATACTATCGTAGTCCTAAATTATAAAATAATTTAAAATAAAATTATACAAATTAATAAAGTTCAATAATAATACTTTAATAATTTGCTTTTTTTTAAAATAAAACCATAAATTTTCAAAAAAATGCTTTTAGACATTAAATTATTACGTTATAATATTATTTCAATTATCCTCATTTAAAAAATAATATTAAAAAAATATTATTAATAAAAATTTATTTTTTTAAATTGTCTTATATTTTAAAACAATGAAATTTCTCTAAAATTTTCTCATAATTTGAAATGGATAGAGTATTACATATTAATGGATTGATTATCATATAATTAACATATTAATATTAATTTTATAAAAATATAAAACTCGCTAAAGATACAAAAACCGGGTACAATTTCAAAGACTCCCGTCACTCAGCATAATGCAAACGCAAATAATTCAACTTCCACACATAAATCCCTAACTTGTGTTCTGATATATTTGATCTGCAAAAGAATTAAGTCAACAAACAAGATGATTGAAGACTGCCCATTAAGGCACCAGTTAAAATTAAAGAATTAATGGTTAAAATCATAATCAAATTTTGATTAAAAAACTGATTTTATAAATAAAACTTCTTACAGAGTCATTTAATGTGTTTCAACCAGGCAGATTAACACGAATTTCGATACCATGTAAGTTAGTATATTTATATATAATATGATCTACGAAAGAATTTAGATCACAACCAGATACCATTTTTATATGCAACTACATGCAGTAGAAAACAAATAAAGGACACTTTTTTTGGGGGGGGGGGGGTGGTCTGGATAAAGGACGCATATAATTAACCAAAAGAACAATGCCAACAGCAATATTAGCAGAGTGACACCGACCTTAACATTAAAAGGGTGCCAATCGAGATATCGGCAGAATACTACTGAAACTCCAAGTATCTATTGCCAAAATTTATAATACAATGTATATCATATTTTTCTAGGAAAGGTACTAAGATATCACCCCAAAAAGAAAAAAACCCACAAAACACATCAAAATACCTATATATGGTTCAGTAAATTACTTAGATGTTCTGCCATCACCATCCGTTATCACATCATTGAAGGTTCCATTACTTGGAATCATGGGCAAGACATGCTCTTGATGAGGTACAATGACATCAAGAAGATAGGGACCAGGAGTTTCCAACATTTTCTGAATTGCTGCTCTAAGGTCATCTTTCTTGGTCACTCTAGCTGCTGGTATGCCACAAGCTTCAGCAAACTTCAACATGTTTGGGAAGATCTCAGCCTCCTTAGATGGGTCTCCCAGATATGTGTGGGCTCTATTAGATTTATAAAATCGATCCTCCCACTGAACAACCATACCCAAGTGTTGATTATTCAACAACAGTATCTTAATTGGGAGATTCTCCACCTTTATAGTGGCCAGTTCTTGAACGTTCATTATGAAACTTCCATCACCATCAATGTCCACTACAAGCGCGTTTGGGTTAGCCACAGCAGCACCAATTGCAGCAGGCAATCCAAAACCCATCGCTCCAAGACCCCCGGATGTTAACCATTGTCTAGGTCTCTTGTATTTGTAAAACTGTGCTGCCCACATCTGGTGCTGTCCTACACCAGTACTTACTATTGCCTCTCCATTTGTCAGTTCATCCAGTACCTGAATGGCATACTGAGGAGAGATATCTTTCTCAAATGTCTTGTAACTCAGTGGGAATTTGAGTTTTTGCTCGCTTAACTCTTCTCTCCAGGCTTGAAAATCAACTTTATCCTTGATTCCTTTGCTCTCTAGAATCTGATTAATGGCCTTCAGAGCCAGCTTCAAATCTGCACAAACCGACACATGGGGCTGCTTGTTTTTCCCAATCTCAGCTGAATCAATGTCAATGTGAACTATTTTAGCTCGACTAGCGAAGGCTTCAAGCTTTCCTGTAACACGATCATCAAACCTTACCCCAAATGCGAGCAACAGATCACTTTTATCAATGGCATAATTAGCGTACACTGTTCCATGCATTCCAAGCATCTGGAGGGAATATTCATCAGCAATGGGATATACTCCTAGACCCATCAAAGTACTTGCAACAGGGATTCCAGTAAGTTCCACAAATCGCCTCAATTCCTCGCTTGAGTTCATACAACCACCGCCAACATACAGAACCGGCTTCTTGGAGTCCAATATCAACCTCACAATCTGATCCAACAGATTCCAATCCGGCGACTTGGGAAGCCTCGCCGTGTAGCCGGGCAGCTTAACCGGTTGGTCCCAATTAGGAATCGCAAGCTGTTGCTGTATATCTTTTGGCACGTCGATTAATATCGGACCTGGTCTCCCCGAAGTAGCTAAGAAGAACGCCTCATTCACAATCCTAGGAATATCGTCTACATCAAGAACAAGATAATTATGCTTCGTGATCGATCTTGTTACCTCAACAATGGGCGTCTCCTGGAACGCATCAGTACCGATCATCCTCCGAGGGACCTGCCCTGTTATGGCGACCAGAGGTACACTATCAAGCAGCGCATCGGCAAGACCACTGACCAGATTGGTGGCACCGGGGCCGGATGTGGCGATGCAGACGCCGGGAAGGCCAGAGGAACGCGCGTAGCCCTCAGCAGCGAAAACGCCGCCTTGCTCGTGGCGTGGAAGGACGTTACGGATGATATTGGAGCGTGTGAGCGCTTGATGGATCTCCAGGGAAGCGCCGCCGGGGTAGGCGAAGACATCTGTAACGCCTTGGCGCTCAAGAGCTTCGACGAGTATATCAGCGCCTTTCCTGGGCTCGTCGGGGGCAAATCGGGAAGCAAAAGTTTCCGACTCAACGGTGGTGGTGGGGACAGCCACGGAAGATACGCGTGCCGATTTGGGGCTCGGTCCGCTTGGATTAGAGATGGAACCGGAAATCCGAATACCACGTGAATGAACAGCCTTGTTGGGAACTGAAGAAAATGGGAAAGAGAGATGCTTCGTTGAAGTTGAAGGTAAGGAAGGGGAAGAAAATGACGATGTAGAGAACAAGTGTTTAGGAGCTAGAGTCGCCATTTCTCGCTCTGCACAGACAGCGCAGGTTGTATTGGGATCGGTATCTCTCTGATTAGTGTTCGCGAGATGCGACGGCGAGGGTGGTCTTAAATTAAGATAGTCAAATTTTAGGGCTTCCTCGTTTGTGGTCTATATTATCACATTGGCCTCTGTCAGATTTATAGCGGAGAAAATTTAAACATTGGAGCGTAAATAAATCATAAATCAATTAAATTATATTATCTCCGGCTATATAATAAAATATTTTTAACTGTTTTTAATTATTTTGATTATAATCAACAAATTTAAGTAAAAATAATATTAAAAAATTATTAATATCTCAAATTATTATTTTTTAGATAAAGACAGGAGAGAGTATATACAAAGGTTGTCCCTTGGTGCCTCTCCATTAGTAGGAGTTTTTTCCCCCCTGTATGATTTTTGTTTTATGGTGCCTCTCTTGCCAACTTTTGTCATGAAAGGGGCATCTGGTATTGGTGGATGGGTGGTTTTCTTTCTCTTTTTGTTAATGTGAATTGTTTTTTCCTTTGATTTGAGTTGTTTTGAAGGGAATGGGGACTCGATTTATGTTTATTCAAAGGAATAACAAGATATGTGATTATTAATTGTGGGTTTTGCCACTTCTTCTCATAGGTTAAAGGGTATAAGTTTTTTTTAAAATATGGATCTTGATAATTTGGGTTTGTTGTTGCCTCAGCTTGGGCTTTTCAGTTCGATAGGTAGTGATTTGCAATAGAGATGAGAATGTTTTTGTGATGTTAATAGCTAGTTTGTTGTTATTTCCAATGATTTTGGTTCTCCTTGCATTGAATTTAGAAAAAATTAATCATTTAATCCTTATAGTTTTAACTTAATTGTAACTTAATTTTTAAATTTTGACTTATTATAATTTAATTCCTAAAATTTTGATTCTATTGTAAATCAGTTTTTAAACTTTGCCTCTTACAATTAAATCCCTAAAATTTTAACTTCTTAAATATTGATCCCTATATTTTAAAAAATAAAATTATAAAGATTCAAAAGTATTTTAAAATTTATTACCGATATCTTAAATTATTAAACCCTTTTAATCTTTATAGATATTTTTAATCTTTATAATTTTATTTTTTAAAATATAGGGACTAATATTTAAGAAATTAAAACTTTAAAGACTAAATTACAAGAGGCAAAATTTAAGAACTGATTTATAATCGAGTCAAAACTTCAAAGACTAAGTTATAACGAGTCAAAATTTGAAGATTAAGTTATAATTAGATCAAAATTATAAGAATTAAATAATTAATTTTTTCTTAAATTTAATATCTAGAAGTGATAAATTTGTTATCTGGACAACATTTATCATTTACATGGAAAAGGACTGTTATGATAGTTATTTGATCCTCTCTCCCTATTTTCCCCTTGCAACTTCTAATCAGTTTTCAAAATAACAATGGCATTTCTTGTTTTTTAGTTCCATTTAAGGACTGAGATGGTCCTAGTGATATCATTTCTTTTCTTTCTTTATGTTGTTTTATATTAAATTTAAAGTTTTTTGTTGTGTTATTTTTCCCACGTGTTTTATTCATTGTACTTAGTTTGTCTTTGTAAATCTTTTGGTCTTCAATAATATTTCATGTGTCTAGAAAAAACAAATAGAAGCAACAACATGAAAATAAATGGATAAAACTTGATAAACTGTGTAGATAGATGGAGTGTAAAAAAAATTAAATAAATAAAAAATCATAAAACCGACAATAATGGTTGTTTATGTTGACATCCATGATGATAGCAATCGGTCAAGCTCTCACAAGGCTGAATGGGCGGACTTAGTTCGTGAGCTTATCCTGATCTAATTAAGTACCTATTTTTAGAAAAACAATGGGCCAAGCCTTTACGACCATTTAAATAATTAAGTATGATCTAAGCTTATTGACAACTATCATTTCTCTATATAATTCTTATATTATTTTCCTTAACTTTTAACACTTTTTAAGGGTATTTTGTGCCCATTAGAAACATTTTAGATCATCTGGATCAATGTTGTAATTTTCAGAACTTCTGAAGCAAAAGTGCAAATTTTTGAAAGTTTATGGACAAACTGTAATTTTTGAAAAATAAAAAATTCATCATTTGCTAATTTTTAGTTCTCCATTAATCTTGTAAATTTAATTTGAGTTAATTCAACTTATATTATGAGTTATTCATTAAAATATTTTTTAAAGAACACGTTTTTTATACTTTAATTGTACTTTTTATGAATTTTAAAAGTATATTGGATTTAGTTATTATAATCAAGAATTTATACAAAATTTCTTATAACTAAATTCATCTTCTAATATGCCATGTAATCACTTTAATTCACTTCACCACATTTTTATAATTTATCTAAATTAAATAAATTCATAAAACACAAAATTCAACTAAGTACGTACCTTAATTCAACTAAGAAGTGGGTTAATAGTTTTTCTTTGGTTTGAAAGGTGGCTGATATTGCTATAGGTCACTATGTCAACCAAAAGCTTTTATGCTCTTTTCATGAGTGGCTAGTCTAGGCCAGGTTACCTATAGATGGCACACATCGATAAACCCAACCTTTAAATTTGATAGGGTTGGTCTTCTTCTTTAATTTTCAGTCGACTACTAATCGGTGATCCCTCCTTATCTTATTTAGATGTTGACCTATCTCTTTTGCCTTGGTCGTAGTTCATTCAGCATTGGTATGCAAGATCTTTCAAGTACTAATTAAGCAGTTTTCTCAAATCAGCTTTGTTGCTAGTCAACCATTAGATACGTAGTCATTAACCTTTAGGTTCCATGACAATTCCACCTCTTAATTTTGTTTTTGTTATGCATTTTTTCATCATCTCTATCATGTTATTTTGTAATTTCTTCATTCATTTTTAAATTATTATATGCCTTTCATTTTTATTTATTACTATTTAAATAATTCGTTCTTAAAATTCATGACCATACATGAAATATCATGTGAAAAGACTTTTAAATACACACAAGGCTCCCATCACTTTAGGACACTTAATGGGTATGACTCATAGCCATTAGATTGATATAAATGAGCCTCAAATACCCCAAAAGAATGAGAATTTCGTGCTTCACATTCACAATCCCCTTATTGACATTTTTTATTCATCTTTCACTCCTCCATTCATCTCCATCTTTCCTCTCAAGAACACCTCTAAACCCTAACCTCCATTTCACCATTTCTCTACTTTAGGCCCCCCATTGCACTATCCAAACCCACCATTCAACTTTCATAGTAGTTCTCACCAAAACCTACTAAAAAAAAAAAATCTATCATCCACTTCATTTTTATCTTGGCCAAATATTTCTCAAGGTCTTCATTTATGGTGATTTCAAAAGTTGGTCAACAAGGAGAAGTTATGAGAATGCTAATGAGGCATGGCTAGGCTTGTTTTCTCTTCCTATAATGCATAGATGAACTCTTTTTGAACTCTTGAATTTTGAAAGTTTCTCTTCTCCTTTACCTCTTATTTACTTCACTAAATTGTAATGTTTATGACATTGTAATGACAATGGTTGTTAGAATTGAACCTTATGATGCTTGGTTGAGTATCATATGATATTATTATATTATTTTTTTGCCAATTAAGGTTCTATCATAGTGATTTTGGTGCTATATCTAAATTTTTATTTTATTCAATCCTTTACTGCATTTAATTTTTAATCATCTTTTGTGAGCTTGTGAGTCACGATTGTGCATTAAGTATACTTGAGATTAGCTAATTCTTTTCTTAATTAATTTGAAATCTCATTTGGTTAAGGTAAGAGTTGGAATTGAAAATTAGCTTCATAATCAATTAATCATTTTTAAACATAATTAATTTTACGAGTAAATTTAGGAAGATGAGGACGACGAAGGAGCCACATGAGGCTGATCGATTTTATATGTATCTGTAAGATAGCTTATTATGATTAGAAGCAGAAGAAATTAATAGAGATGATCAGAGATCGAAAAATGAATATGCACAAGGCTTGGAGGATTTTGCAGAATGCACTTGTAGAACCTACAGTGCGATAATCGCGTCTGTGAACAATTAAATTCGAAAATGATCATTTAATGAAAGAAATATATTAACGGGTAAGAGGGACTGGGAGGGCATAAAATGATTATTTTCATTTTTATATATTATATATATAATATCATATATCCAAATACACATATTCATTTTTAAAAAAATAAATAAAACATGTTTTGAAATCTATATTTAAAATGAAGGTAAAAATCTTTACCAATATTTCACATTCTTCTCTCCGTTATCTAAAAATAAAATGTCATAGTATTGAGAAATAGGTTCTCTTTTTGACGATATTGATAAAAGTGAGGCAAACTAATCTCAGGCACTTGCTGATATCACTAATTGCCTTTTATTCCTATTGGTTTTTCAGCATGTTAACTGTCTTCAATTTAATGATCAGCTCAAAATGACTTGGATTTTATAATATCTTTTTAACTAGCAAATTACTTTGTTCATATACAAGTAGGGAAAGAGATTATAGAGGCAATGGTCAAGCATCTAACATTAACAGGACTAAAACAAAATTTACAGGTAATGACCATTAGAAATCCACCCCCCACTGTTAAATGATCAACATTCACCTCCATTAACATCATCTCTATCTAGATATATTAATAAAAGATCTACCCTATATTCTCTAAGCAGTGCATTACAATAATAGTTACAAATAATAATTAAAAAGGGCATGCCGCCTGAGCCCTTTTCACAAGGCAATAGGGGTTGGATTTAAAAGCCCACCACATTGAAATAAATTTTAAATTTTTGAAGCTTAAATTCATATAAAAACGAGTTTAAGTGGACAGTCTATGTTCCCAACTCTATATAACATGAGTGTTTTGAATATATTTTCACAAAATCAAAATTTTGACTCCCAAAATTGATTATATGATCTATCCAAAAAGGCACTTCAATGTGGGAACTTTATGGAATGTCCAGGAATAGAAAAATAAAAAATAAATATTACCAACCATAGTCAACATGAGTGATGAAAACTCTCATTATTTAATCAAATGGTTGGAAGTTTAAACACCAACCCTTATGTAGATAGCAATTTAGTTGGAAAAAGTTTACTCATAACTCTTAGTAC